GTAAGTTAAACATAAATATGTTGTTCAACGTATGTATAGTGGAAATTTAGACCTTTATAAAAACAGTATTTAAAGCATTGTTTTGAAATGTTAAGTTAACAGTTGTTTACTAGATGGAAGCTCTTACTGAGGATCCGAAATATTCAAAAATTCTTGAAATTTTGGTTTTCAACATGGGTGAGTGGTGATAAATTTCTTGCAATGACATGGCATGGCTTCGGTCAATTCTTTACATTTTAGGTTATTTTCTCCATGTTTTGCAAATTTTTGCTGTCATACTGACTTAAGTAAGGTATTTTGTATTTACTCATTTTTAACAGGTATATTTGAATATAGTTCATTACAATGTTAGAAGATTCCTCTGAAAAAAATATCAAAAAGTAGAATAATTAACTAGTTCAGCTAATTTTAAAGATGTAAATTTATAATATTTATAATTAATACATGCATGAATTAATCCAGTTGTTTGGATAGCCTCCCTAATTACAGGTTATAAAACTGCCAATAGGGTATATTTTATAACCTGGGGCAATATAATGTAAATCTCCTCTTAATTAGACATAATTGAAATCAAAAACAAAGTTGGCATGTCATTGATTAGAAGTCCTTGATCATCTGATTAGTAAAGACAAGAAGTCAGTTGAGAATTTTTTATGCTCTATTCAAAATTATAAACAATATATATTTTTAGTGTCAAAATGGGATACATGTACCTATTTCTGAACAAGAATTTCAATGCATAGTCATTGGTACATTGTCAAAAGGATTTTGTGAACTTTTAATTTTTTATATCATAATATTATGACGAATCAACTGTTTATCTGTTCTAGCTAAAATTCCAACTCTTATTGAAAACTGAGCTTCAATGTCAATGTAGTACAGAACTTAACACAAGACTCATTTCTTATTTTAATCTATTTTCTTATTTCAAAATAAAAGGTCTTTAAATTATTGACAAGCATTGAAGACAGTAAAGTCAATTGTTTCAAAGCTGATTATATACAGTAAAATTTGGTAGGAGATCTGGTTGATCATAATGCAGCTATAGACAATAGAAACAAATAAGGCATTTGATAAACTCTGAAGACTTTTTAATACATTGTATTTTATCTGTACTATAAAGTGATGAATGCTTACATATTTTCATTTAAAATAGGTTATATTTCATCAAACTATTTTACTAAAGTAATCGAAATGTAATCGAAAAGTAATCGATGATTACATCATAATTTTTGCTGTAATCGATTAAAATGTCTTCGATTACAGATTACTGTCGATTACTGGAAAAAATGTAATCAATTACAATTGATTACGATTACAGATTACGATTACCCCATCCCTGGTATGTACAGTCTGCAGTTAAAGTTTTTAAAACATTTATTAGATTCATAATACCTTCTTGGATTTTTACCAAACTTGAACAGAACTTCTTACAATCAAAAGATAGTATCTAGAGGAAAATTTTTAATAATTTTTTCCCCATTTTTGTTGAGCCTGCGACTAACAGCAAAAGTAGGCGAGACACTGTGTTCCACGGAACCCTTACGAATTTTTGTGTTTTAATTTTTTTATTTTGTTAACAAATTTTAAGCCATTAATTATGTTTGACATGACTTATGAGGAAATATTGCACCAGGAAATGCCTATCATCATTGAAAATGTAATTGTCGTGATTGTATAATCTATAATGAATATTGAAAAAAATTATTTTCTTTAACAAACATTCTAAAAAGAAAGTGCTGTCTGAGGTTACAGCTGCTTATTCCTTATGTGAGACTGCTATACATGGACATGCTAATGAATGAAATTATAATCAAATTTTAAAACAGCATAATTTAAAAGTTGCTGTGACAGTTATTGATGTTGAACATGATTCTAGCTATTATCATGATTATTGTCTTAATTCACATACAAATGTACATTACACAGTATATTGCATGTACATGTGCATTGAAGTGTATCACTAAAAATGGTATTTACTGGGTACATGTACATTATATTCATTTTTTGTACATTACAGAAAGATAAGTTCATCATTTTACATTGAATTTTTTTTTTAAATGGACAGAAAACAGCATTAAACAGTTAAAACCATAGGCAAAACAAAGAAGTTTGTATGTTTAGGGTTTCCTCCTTAGAAAAATAGAATAGGAATTCTCTTTTTTATTTTGTTCTTTTTTTCTGCCTTGTGAACATGTATGTGTGGAGACTTATAATTTGAAAGATTCATTAACAAAAGTAACAATAAAACTTAAGGGTAGTTATTTTAAAGCGTCAAATATGATAGGAACATTTTTAGCCATAGGTAAACCCCAAACACAAGTATTTTTTTTAAATCTTGGCCTAACTGTCCTTGTACTCAATGTGCAGATTCCCAGGAATGCACCAATATCAACTGAAATAGTTGAAAAGAGAATTTCTGCTATTCAGGACTTGCCTCAAACTTCATGGCTGTGTAGTTTTTTATATGCAGTATGGATTTATAGCCATGATAATTGAAATGGAATATATATATATACAGGAACTTCGCAATTTATTGCCAAGCACCCAATATTATCCAAGATCTTTCCCAAACCTCCTGTCTTAGCTTTTCGGAGACCAGCAAGTCTGAAAGACTTATTTGTGAGAGCTGACGTCTCCTCTAATAAAAGCAGTTCAACTGCAGGATGGTGCACGTCGTGTGGTAACAGACGATGTCTGACTTGCCAACAAATACTGAATACTCAAACATTTACTTGCCACTCCACTGGGTCTGTGTACACTATATTTTGCTATGTAACTTGTAAGTTGTCATTTGAGATCACCTGGGCACGCCCAAGCTGATCTCAAAAACCTTACCATCACAATCATAGACCACAACGAGGGTTGGTCAAGGGCCGACAGACTCGCTAGGAGAAAGGTTTTGGATAAGAAAGCTAAGGACAGTTTCCCCAGAGGGCATAAATGAAAAAACATAGAATGAGAGACTCATTTACCCTACTATCACTAATTTTCCTACCATCACTTGTTTCCAGTAACTCAGGGGTCCGTACTGGATTCTTATTACAGTTTTAAGGAATTTTTATACGACAGCAAAAATTAAAAATTTTTTGGTCATATATTGGTATCACGTTGTTGTCGTCTAGCGTCAGCGTCGTCCAAAGACAGATGGTTTCCGGATAATAACTTTAGTATAAGTAAATAGAAATCAATAAAATTTTAACACAAGGTTTATAACCACTAAAGGAAGGTTGGGATTGATTTTGGGGGTTATGGTCCCAACTGTTTAGGAATTAGGGGCCCAAAAAGGGGCCCAAATAAGCATTTTTGTAGTTTCCAGACAATAACTTGTGTTAAAGTGTATGAATCTCTCTGAAATTATACCACAAACTTCCATACAACAAAGGGATGGTTAGGATTGACTTTGGGGGTTATGGCTCAAACCATTTAGTAATTAGGGGCAAAAAAGGGGGAAAAACAAGGGTTTTTCTGGTTAAAGGACAATTGAGACAATTTAAAAGCAGTGTAAGGGAGGTAATCCAATTCAAATTAAAGAACACTGTTTGATTATCTCCCTTACACTGCTTGTAAATTATGTATTAAGAAATGATGATTGTCTTGAGGTGATTAGCTGTCAATTTATTTTTAGCAGTTACTATTAATTAATATTAATTTTAGCCATGACTATGTATGTCATTTTATATTTTAAAACTTTTATGATGTATTTAAATGGGTAATTTTGGTTGCAAACTGCATTAGAAATTTGAATTGAGATACTGACCATATCTTGAGGGAAAGAATTTTTTGGGGGAATAAGGGAAAGGGGGGAGGTGAAAAAAATTGGAGGGGGAGGACAATTTTTCTCATTTCAGATTTCAGAAAGTAAAAGAAAATTTCTTCAAATATTTTTTTTGGGGGGTTAATATTCAACAGCATAGTGTATTGCACAAAAGCAATAAATTGAATATAAATTCAAATCATATAACCAATTTGAAGTTCTTTGACTACAGTTATTCTGTGTCAGAAACCTATTATGTGTCAAAAATTTAGTTACAATCCAAATTCAGACCTGTATCAAGCGTGAATATTGTGTCCATTTTGGCCCAACTTTTCAGGGTTGGACATCTGCGGTTGTATCCAGCTGCGCTCAGCGAAGCAATTTATTTAATTATACCAGTTTAAATTACAGGGTTCTATTCATTTGGGAGGGATGTATAAGTACGCAGTCCCGTTCAATTATTTAACCTTAGTCAAAATTTTTTTTTTTTTTAATCATTATCAAACTGCTATCTATTTGGGATGTTTAAATACGCAGCCTCTGTTTTAATTACTCTACCGTTGTCAAATTTGAAATATTATACTAGCTTGGATCGGTCAGTCCTGTTTATTGTGAATGTATTTCCACGCAATCCTTGTTGTAACATCTTAACCGTCGTCACCTTTGTAATTTTAGAGTTGTACCAGTTCATATCACACATTACTATTTTTATTTTAAGCATATCTTTGCAGTCTCTGTTGTAAATAGCTACATAACCTACATCATGTTTAAAAAAAAAAGAATTAGAATTGTACAAGCGTCTCTATGATGTTCAGTTTTGACTTTTATTGTATAAATTTCAAGATTGTTATTGTTTTATAATCAGACTAGATTTATCACATGTTTATATGATTCATTTTACATCATGATCATACTGATGAAGGATATCTATTATCCGAAATATTTAGCATTTGTTCATTTTATTATTATTTTTTGGTGATGTTGTACCCTTTTAGACTTGTTATATATGTAACTTAAAATATATACCACTGCTTTTAATATAATAAGTAGAGAAAAATTACACAGTGTTATAGCACCATGTTACTATTTTCAACCTAATATATTTGTCACCAAATGTCGAGCAAGCAACCTTTTTATTTTTCTGAAGTTCTTTCTTGTTGATTAAAATTACATGTCAATTTATTCAAATTCAGAGTAATGTTTTAGTGGTAGAAATTTAATCTTGTCATCTTTTCTTTTTCAGAAAATTATTGGTGTGTTCAAACCAAAAGATGAAGAACCATATGGCCAACTCAATCCAAAGTGGACTAAATGGATGCATAAAATTTGTTGCCCATGTTGTTTTGGTAGAAATTGCTTAGTCCCAAACCAAGGATACCTGTCTGAGGCAGGTGCTAGTCTCGTAGACTCAAAACTTCAGTTGAATATAGTCCCAAAAACTAAGGTAAGAGAAACATCAATTTATAGTGTAGATTGTCTATTTGGATGGATACTGATGATGTAGGGAGCAAATGTGCAGTCTTTTTATGTGCAAATATTGAATATTATCATGTTGTTAAGTGTCATTTTGAATTAGAACTGTCATAAACCTAAACATAAAAGTATCAAATCATGCATGTTATTATGTTTTATTATACTTACAAAATGCAAACTTAATTATGGAAGTGAGAAAATTTTCGTCATTTTACAATCAAGCCAAATGAATGAGATGCATGAAAGAAAATCTCAGGAAAAAAACTTGCCACACAACATATTTCCATACAATGTATGCAAACTGTCCATGAGGTTCAAATTCTTCTTACTATAAGAATCCTTGATTAGAATTAGGAAGAATTATTTATAAAAATTGATTGATTATTTATTCTTAATAATTGGTGTAAGAGTGGGGATTGAGACATGTGAGAGGAAAATGTACAAATAAATAAATCATTCACAAAGGTAATGAATATATTACAAAAAGGTTCAATACTGTAGTGTCAATCTTTCCTACATTTGTTCATTTTATTGTACATTCAAAAAGTATGTCACTCTGTTTGTAGGTAGTGAAGTTATCTAGTGAAACATTTAATTACACAGACATCGACAGGTTAAAATCCAGGACAAAACAGAGCATATTACAGAAAGTACCAGCCATAGGAAAGAGATTTCATAGACTGGGTTTACCACCAAAGGTTTGTTTTATATAATATGTAGTACACATAAGATGATTCTGTGAAAAATTACCCTTGCTGGTGTTATTTTATAGAGAGATACCATTCTTTTTTTGTAACTCCAAAAAACAGCCCATGCTGGTGATGTAATGATTTTACTCAGATTTATTTACATAGTATCTATTAAATATACAGAGGTATTTCAGAGTGAATCACCCACAAGCACCAGCATTCACTCTGATAAATAATTACCAAGTGTTATTATTTACTGAATCAGCAAGTGTGTACAGCAAGTGTGCACCAAATATTTATATTTATTGGCAATTTGTACAGTTTCCCTTTGATATAAGTGCCTAATAATTTTCTATCTCATGGACAGGACCTGATACTATACAAATATAGCCTTTGTATGAGGTCGATACAAGGATATATTGACCTGAAAGAAGTATATTGACTGAGGACGAAGTCCGAGGTCGATATACTTCTTTGGGTCGATATATCCTGTATTGACCTCATACAAAGGCTATATTTGTTATATTATTAATTTTCGACCATATTTGTATCAAAATCGTCATTTGATTTTGTTGGAATTTTATAGATATTATATTGTCTCCTTGACAATAACAACATATTAGTTGTTATTTCATTTACTTTTTTTTGTTTGTTTCACATCTTATGTATTTGAAAAAAAAATTTGTCAAATAATCGACCACAGATGTCATTTGTTTCAAAATGTTGAACAATATCCTGAAATTCATTACATGACGTCACAAAGTATATCGGTTTTTAGATATTCTAAAAATAACCGTGCAATATGCATTTTGCTGTGCAATATGCTTTTTGCTATCCGCCGTTTTCTCTCTACCTTCGAAAATATAGTTTAACATGTGACTATCCCTAAACGAATCAAATTTGTTAAAATATACGAATTAATAATATTCCAAAATATTAGCCAATGACGTCATGTAAGTTATTGTAACAGTGCAGCAACGTCACAGGTTCATGTCCATCTGCATCAACTTAGCAATGAAATGCATGCGATTTCATTCATACAACTGAACAACTATCACAACGTTTTATACATGTATAAATAGTTTTACTGAATTTCATTTTATTTGTATTTCATATTCTCAATCAAAAAAACAAAATTGCTGATAGAATAATGGCATTTAATTTTTCGATACTGACTTCATCAGCTCAAATATCAGCTCGCCCTTCCTAATTCTAAATTCTAATTCACTTGACATTCTTGCGGATAAAGTCAGTATCAAATACAAAAAAAATGCCATTATTCTATATATATATATATATATATACATCTAGTGTACCAAATTTGAAGCCTGATATCTTTGATGTGAAATACAATATTCAGATACTTTGTACAGTTTCTTTTCCTTTAAACAAAAGTTTATTACTTCCTCATGACTTAAATATACAAAGTTCAATATACATGTAGTTAAAGAAATTTAATCACCACGTTCCAAATGTAACCACCAAATCTGCTGTATAGACCTATTTCAAATGATGGTTGAACCAAAATCCTGTTAAATGCACTCTATGTAAAATAAATTTAACATTATGTCATGAATGTTGGTAAGAAAAAACAATTCTGACATTAAAAAAAAAGACTCTAGCTGTGATAAGTTGTAAAGATTCCTTGGTTTATGGAAGGTTGTGGTTTCTTTAATATATCCTCAAACAAAGCATAAATTGCAGAAGGGTTAATTTGAGTAATGATATATTATGGCCCAGAGTAACATTTACTGTAATATTAAAGCCCTATTTCAGTCCTGAAACCGTGTTTAAAAAATGATAGATAAATAATTATTTTAAAAATATTCACTTGTAAATAACAGCATATGGTGCTAAATATATATAATAGTACAAATAAGTTTGTTCATGAAAAAGGTCAACAAAGGGACGTAAGTCGTAAATTACTATCGGATCCTCTTCGTCAGAAATTTCGACACATCGAAGTGGCACATTTGCGTATTACAGTGTGTTAAGTCGCACAAATTTCACATATGCCAGTTCATAAAAAGCCTCATCACATATTTTAAATTCAGCATAGGTTCCCCAGAAATAAAGAAAGAAATTTCAACTTGTATGTGTTGAAAAAAATTGATGCAAAGAGTGACGACCTGGGGTTTGAAGGCTTCGTATTCTAAATCAGTATGCTAAATCAAAACAATGTGTATGTTAGAACTTCCAGAAAGTATACACAGTTGACATTTATAACATACAGCATGCTTTGATTTCATTTGATATGACTTTTTGGAGGACACAGACTCGTTTCAAATAAAGAAAAATTGAAAAAAAAAATGCCCAAGTATGGTAGTCACATGACTTCCATTGTTGTCTTAAGAAATGGGGTCAAACCAGGGTCAGCTTTCCAACTGACATATTTTACCATTTTTTGTTCATTTTTATACGCCCGTTTACGGGTGGTATTATGGTATACCTTTGTCCGTCTGTCCTTCTGTCCGTCCGTCTGTCCGTCGTCAACATGTCGGACATTAACTCAAAAATGCTTTAACCAATTTGCATAAAACTTGGCTGAATTGTTTATATCTATTGACGTGAGCTCCCTTTCGATTTTTATAAAATTTAGATTTTTCGTTTCCGAGTTATGGGGTTTTATTCATTAAAAAAAGGGGGATTTTCAAGTTTTCGGACAAAAAATCAAGAACTTGCAAGAAATTGTGGTGAATTGTTTATATCTATTGACATGAGTTCCCTTTTGATTTTTTTAAATTTTAGATTTTATGTTTCCGAGTTACAGGGTTTTATTCATAAAAAAAGGGGGGATTTTCCAGTTTTCGGACAAAAACTCAAAAATGCTTTCAGCAATTCTTATGAAACTTTGGTGAATTGTTTGTATGTATTGCTGTAAGCTCCCTTTAGAATTTAATAAATTTTACATTTTACATTTCTGAGTTATGGGGTTTTATTCATTAAAAAAAGGGGTAATTTTCCAGTTTTCGGACAATAACTCAAAAATGAAAGAAACTTTGGTGAATTGTTTATATCTATTGATGTAAGCTCCCTTTTTATTTTCATAAATTTCTAATATGATATTGAGAATTAATTGAACTTTATTTGTTTATAGTCTGACAACAGATTTACTAAGTATTGCACAACAGCAAGAAATCTTTAATTGAATATAAATTCAATTCATTTAACCAATTTCAAGATCTTTGACTACATTTATTCAGAAACCTATAATATGTCAAATATTTAATTACAATCCAAATTCAGACCTGAATCAAGCTTGAATATTGTGTCCATTTTTGCCCCAACTGTTCAGGGTTGGACCTCTGCAGGCGTATCTAGCTGCGCTCAGCGAAGCAGTTTATTGCCTATTATCTTGAAATCTTTAACAGATAGAAACTTTAAAAAGCAAAAATGACCAACAGGACAAGATCTACAAATAGGTCAACATGACTGAAATTGTTAGTTAACTCTGTATAGAATTATTGCTCTTTCATGATGATTTTTACCAAATAGTGGCCATTGTTGAAGATCCAGGTGAGCGACACAGGCTTTAGTTTACTATTACATTATTTTTTGAAGTGTTGTTCAGATAGAAAATGGCAACATGTCCATTTGAATGAGCCTTTCCTCATCAGATAATCATCATTGTGTCTAATTATACCCCTACTCCAAAGGAGGCCGTGTATACTGGTTTACGTTGATCTCTTTCCTTCTGTCAGAGTTTCCATCTGTCCCATCATTCCCATAAGATTTTGGTCACATTTTTCTCAGGAACAACAAATCAGAGCTTCCTGAAATTTGTTATTAAACTTTATGTGAGCATGCTTTACTGTGCGAGTCAAATGCAAGGCTCATCCACTCCCTGTTTTAACAGATACATATATATTCTTTGTACACATAGATGGCAATGTAAGAAATTTTTGTCATATTTTTCTCAGGAAATACTGTGTCTTTCAACTTCCTGTTAACCAAATACTTATAAAAGGAGTATCATTAGTGAGCAATAGTCCACAGTTCAACTTTTTTTACAAGAATTAATATAATAAGGGACTTTTTCTTTTGCAGACTGGTTCATTTCAACTGTTTGTGACTGATTTCAAAGATGCAGATTTTTGGCTTCGAAAATTTGATCATGAAGATCTCCCAATTTCTACAGCGACAAGATTACAGCATTTATTTGAAAGACTTGTAGTATTAGATTATATAATTAGAAACACAGGTATAGTTAATCATATTACATGTAATAGAAGCATCTGTTGTGATGTACTGTAAATTCAGAAATTATAATGAGGTTTTTATTGATGCGAATAAAGCGACTGAATGACTATCGCAATAATAAGAACTCCCATTTTTATATCTAATACATGCATCTGCATGCAGATTTTTCTGGAATCGCAATAATTAATCTGTCATTTTAGTCCATTCTACAAAATTCGTGATAATAAATGCATACAACAATTTCTGAATTTACAGTATATTGATTAGACAGCGATATAAAAATACAGAAGAAACAGTTCATGGTCAACATCTATTCTTCCACAGAAGATAAGTGTCTATACTATATGTTGAGCTATTAATCACCCTTGTCTAGACTTGTTTCTAATGAATTACTACTACCAAATATCTGCATATTGCATAATGATGGCATATAGAAATCTGTCTAGTAACTTTAAAACTTTGAATAGCAAAAATAAACATGTTGAACAGAACTGGCATCATATGATAGTTGTACACAATATTATTGAGGTTTAAAGTGTAAGGCACAATTTTAAGGATTTAAATATTTTACATTTGTTATTAGTGCAACGTTTTCAATACATAATTGGACTATATTGCGGCCGTATAATGGTATGGTGATGTCATCGTCGTCTGAAGACATTTGGTTTCCAGACAATAACATTTTAAAACCTATTTAGCTGGCTATGCGAATTAAATGAAATTGAATAATGAATATGAAAATGAACAAGAGACCTCTTCAGAAGCCCTAATTTGTAGTCTATGGAGTTATATAGAATCCTAATTTGTAGTTGTGGAGTTTACATAGAAGCCCTAATTTGTAGTCATTGGAGTTATAGAAGCCCTAATTTGTAGTCCGTGAATTTATAGAAGCCCTTATTTGTAGTCAGTGGACTTATCAAAGCCCTTATTTAAAGTCGGTGGAGTTTTGTCTTTGTAGAAGAAAGTATGAAACTTTAATTTGGTTGGACCTTAATAAATCTTCATAAACTTTAACAATTTCTGAAAAAAATATTATATATTGATCTTGTAGATAGAGGAAATGACAACTGGTTAATAAAATATGACCCAGTGTCATCACGAGGCAGCTCAGGGACAGATATAGAGGTGGGTTATAATAGAAATAAAAAACAAGAAGAGAAAAATGGAGTGTGAACTTGAAAAGAAAATACCATCTTATTTTATGACTAAACAGCTTCAGCTTTAACTGCATGCAAAGATTATACTTTTTTGAATAATTATATTTAATTTGAATATAGATTATTTGTCAGTTAAGAGATCTTATTTAAACCATTACCTAATGTATGAAATTCCTCTTTAAACTTTCCTCTATATTTTTAACCCTTATTTCTTACCTCTGCCTCTATAAACTAATACACATTCAAGTGGGGATATGCTTAGTACAACATGCATGCTTAGTTAAGAATAAAACAAAATCAAGATTTTATTGAAAAACCGAAATTATATATTTGTTAAAGTAGTTTTTCTCCTTTATTTAAGAATTCACTTATAGATTTTCACAAGTATACTCACTTATTGCAGTCCTTAAATTCATATTTTTAAGTCTATTTTCATGATTCTTTAAACTGACTATGGATACTATTTTTCAGAACATGGTTATGTACATAGGCCAGGGGGTAGTTTTATGGTATCCTCTTGTTCTCCTAAATCACTGTCTGAAAGTCAATAAATCATTAGTACTGACTTCAGTATGTAGAATAGAACTTCACATCAGTAGATATATAGCGCTATTTTTATACAACCGCAAAAAAATTTTGTGGTCGTATATTGGTATGACGTTGGCGTCGTCGTCGTCGTCCGAAGACACATTGGTTTTCGCACTCTAACTTTAGTTTAAGTGAATGGATCTCTATGAAATTTTACCATAAGGTTCAATACCACAAAAGGAAGGTGGGGATTGATTTTGGGGGTTATGGTACCAACAGTTAAGGAATTAGGGGCCAAAAAGGGGCAAAAAATAAGCATTTTTGTAACTTCCTGACATAACTTGTGTGTTAGTGTATGGATCTCTCTGACATTGTACCACAAGGTTCCATATCACAAAGGGAATGCTGGAATTGAGTTTGGGGGTAATTGCGTCCAAATTTTAGGAATTAGGGGCCAAAAAGGGGAAAAAAACAAGCATTTTTCTAGTTTCATGACAATAACTTGTGTGTAAGTGTATGGATCTCTCTGACATTGTACCATAAGGTTCCATATCACAAAGGGAATGCTGGGATTGATTTTGGGGGTAATTGCCTCCAAATTTTAGGAATTAAGGGCCAAAAAGGGGCAAAAAACAAGCATTTTTCTAGTTTCACGATAATTACTTGTGTGTAAATGTATGGATCTTTCTGAAATTGTACTACAAGGTTCCATATCACAAAGGGAAAGCTGGAATTGATTTTGGGGGTAATTGCCCACAACGTTTAGGAATAAGGGGCCAAAAATAAGCATTTTTCTAGTTTCAAGACAATAACTTGTGTTCAAGTGTATGGATCTCTCTGAAATTGTACTGCAAGGTACCAAACCACAAAGGGAAGGCTGGGATTGATTTTGGGGATAATTCCCTAGAAATTTGAGGAATTAGGGGCCATAAAGGGGCAAAAAAACAAGCATTTTTCTAGTTTCAGGACAATAACTTGTGTGTAAGTGTATGGATCTTTATGAAATTGTACTGCAAGGTTCCATATCACAAAGGGAAAGCTGGGTTTGAGTTTGGGGGTAATTGCCCTAAATGTTTAGGAATTTGGGGCCAAAAAACAAGCATTTTTCTTGTTTCCAGACAATAACTTGTGTTCAAGTGTATGGATCTCTCTGAAATTGTACAGTTCATACATGTGAATCTCCCGACGGGAGTACAATAATCCCGTTTTCAGGGGTCTCCTCCCGACCTCCCGTTGAAGACACAAAAATCCTGTGTATGAAATATTTCATGAATGAAAAATTTCAGCCCAACATATCTGGTGTAACTGACATTACTGAAGTTATATTTTACCTGTAAATCAATTAACATGCATAATTTTATGGCCTCACTTGTCACCTTGGGTGTCAAACATACTGGTAATAAACGATTTTTACCTCAGGCTAACTGTCGTTGTGTAATAAAACTTTGTTTATTTAAAATGAATGTTGGGTTACTTCCTTGATTTATCCTGTTTTAAGTTACTTTCCTTTAAATAATGTAAATTTTTAAAAGAATATAAATAAAATATAAATTGAACAAATAATCATAAAAGGATGGTAATTAAATGATTTTAAATGTTTTAGGACGAATAAAAAAATAATAATTTGAAAATTATTTGAGGGTTCTATACTTCCTTTCAAGGCTTAAATTGAAATTTATATAATAACAATGACCCATGATCACAGTTTGAATGTGTAACTTATCATGCATTAAAAATTACTTGCATAAAGATAAAAATAAAAGATCTACTTGCAGGTAGATAAGCAAATGTTCTGATTGCAATGAATAATGGTAAAAAAGATATGACCTAAAAAATTTAAAGATCATACTGAAAAAGAAGAATGTTAGATTGAACAAGTTGAAAGTTTAAAAAGATAGAGAAAATTTATAAGTACAAAGGTACTATAAACATAATACATTCGGATGGAAAGTTGAAGAAAACACACTTTAACAGACAATTTCTACAGCACACAGTTACATTTACGACAGAATTTATGTTGATTAAAAACATCCTGATCTGAGTCCTAATCTCCAAAACTCCTGATCTTAGTTTCACAGTCCATCACATGTATGTGTACTGCAAGGTACCATACCACAAAGGGAAGGCTGGGATTGAGTTTGGGGGTGATGAATCGTAAGGGGGTTCAAAAATTTGGGGGGGGGGATTTTTTTTTCCTTTTTTTCTTTAAAATTTTCCATTTTAAATTGGATATTTCTGATTTATATATTAAGGCAAATAATAATGATATGGTTTGAATAGATAAATTAAAAAAATTTAAGTTCTTAGACCACATTTATTCTGTGTCAGAAACCTATGCTGTGTCAAATATTTAATTACAATCCAAATTCAGTGCTGTATCAAGCTTGAATGTTGTGTCCATACTTGCCCAAACTGTTCAGGGTTCGACCTCTGCGGTCGTATCAAGCTGCGCCCCAGCGGAGCATTTTATTAAAGTATAATTTCACATTTTCCCTTATTTGTCACTATGCTTATCCCTAAGCGGCTTGCAATTGATCAAATTACAAGTGAAAAGAACTTACCATTTTGATTTTTTCCATTTATAGATTTGCCTTTTTGTAATGTCTTGATTTCCACATCAGTTTCAGAAGGGTCACTACCACAATCACATTATTGGCAGAGTTCTGTCTTTGAATTTTTTAAGGCGAGTCCAGGGACTCATTATTTTTGGCCACAGATTCCAATAGTGATAATATGAAATTTTATTGCTATATGATTTATAATTTCATTATAATTTATTTATACCTACATAATTTATAATTATTTCATGACCAAATAGAAATGACATCAAATTCAGATTATTTTTGAAACTTTAGTTATAAAATGTTGAAATATGTTCTCAGTTAAAACTTACAATCTCTGCATCTTTACACTCACCAGTTTTGAAAATGATGAGTTCAGGACTCATGGACTTGCATTAGTGAGAACCCTGCTTTGGTATTTTAATTCTTTATAGGAGAAATACATGCCCGGGATGCAATATCTGTGTTTAAAAAGATAAAAAAGTTTTGTATATGCAACATACTCCCAACTAATTCATCCCATTGATATTTATTGAAAGTCATCACATTTTGCTGACTGCACGTAACTGTTTAAATTCACAATAGTTGCATTTAATTGTTAAAAAGTTAATGTCTCTTCAATTGTCATCTGAGAACTGTATTCTACCAAATGTGTTTTTGTGTATAAGATATGAACATGATGGATGTTTATGGATTTGTAAATGAAAACATTTCCTTTGGTACTGCTAGCAGAAAATATTAGAATAAACTTGGGGCACAAAGTTAGAAAACAAATGAACATTTTTACACAGTTCACTTATGAGTTGCATATGGAAAATTTAGTTCTGTATTTTTTTTTACCAAGTTCACTAGAAAACATCTAACTGGGATTTTGATAGTGGAATGATACGATTGTAATTAACGTCTCTGAATCCATAATGTGTACATTTCAGTCTTAGTTCGTTTTTTGTAAAAAATCATTTTTTGTAAAAAATAATCACCTTGTTTCCAGATAAATTTGTAATAAAACTTAATGTGACTTATTTTATTTTGAGAGGTTTTATATTTCAGGATGGTGAATGGAGTTTAGTTGACAATCCTGACATCAGTGTAGCAGCTATTGACAATGGATTAGCATTCCCTTTCAAACATCCTGATGAATGGAGAGCTTGTAAGTGTTTTAAAACAGTCAAATTATTACAACATTTTACTAATTTTTTTAATCTAATTATTTGGCATGAAATTTAGGAATACTACAATGTATTTGAAGTGAAATCTTTCTATATTAAAAAAAATTGTAAAATCATAAAATACAGGGTTTGCAGTTAACTGTTACTACAAAATTGTAATCAGTCTGTAAGACCAATATTAATAAGTATATCATTTTCTTTTCACCAAAAAATTTTAAGACGAAATTTATCTTGAACACTTTCAGTATGCCTTGCAAAATTTTGCTGAAAGTAAATTATGTTTAAAGAGGTGTGTGGATATTTTGATGTACATGTCTGTCACAAGTTTGGTTTCTGAATGATAATTAATGTACTAATTGATTAAACCTTTTGAAATTTTATCACGAAATCATGGACCATAAAATACAGGTTAAGTTAGATTTAAAAAGTTTTATTCGGTGGTTTCCAAGATATAATGAAAGTTCTGTTTGACAAAACTTTTTAGATGTTAACACAATGTTATGAAACATTAAATGCAAGTCACATTCAATTTGAATTTTGGTTTTGTATTTACCGTTAAAGAGTTTTTTTCTGTAAATGGGGGTATCTGTGATCACTAGATAACCTAGGGTTGGTTCCATTTAAACATACATGGCACTAAAGGAAAATACTTTCACGATTCGGTAACCACTTAAAGAGGCAAATTTAAAATTCAACTAAAAAGATATTGTACTTGACACACACCCATAGTTGAGATTTCAAAGTGCCTTCTCTAGGTCCCATGTATGTTTTAATGGAACAACCCTTATTCTATTTTTACTAAAAGTTTAGTTTTAAAGCTCTCAACATATCCTGTGAAGAATACGGCACATGCTAGTATGTTTAATATTAATTTCAGCTTACAAACTATTGTTATGATTTCAGATCCATATCATTGGGCATGGCTACCACAGGCAAAGATTCCATTTTCAGATGAAATCAAAGACTTAGTATTACCACAACTATCAGATATGACATTTGTAGAAGACTTAGTGGATGATTTGTATGAACTCTTTAAGGTTGGCTTTTATTGTATTATTTGCAATAAAAAGTTCATTCGGTCAGACATAAGTATGACTTTTCAAGTGGTTTGGCGACAGCCACTGCATGAACAGTTACAAATACCTATATTACTTATTCCCACTTTCACCATTGTTAGCCAAAAATTTCAGACAGTTATTGTCATCTGACCATGATCCCATTTTTATGCTCCAATTGTAAGGTTAAGTTTTCAAGATTATGTAATCAGTAGATATTTCTGACATTTCAACAAAATTTTGTATGTGGAATGGTAGTAACAAGCATTTATCACCGGCTTAGTATATTTCTTGGATTTTGATTGGTTAAACGCACGTCGTTAAAAAACCCATAGCCCTGGGTGTTGCTAACCCATATACCATCAATATTTTGTGTTTTACATCTGACAGGTTTCATTAGACTTTGACACCAACTTCAGATTGATTTACTTTTGAAATTGTTCAGATTTTGCATCAAAGAGGACATTTTTACTGTTTTAATTCTTATTTAAATGAAGTTGTATTTGTTAAAAAAAAAAAGAGAAAATGAAAAAGAATTTGAAAATCATTTCTGCTTGTGCTATATCTCCGTAAAACATAGGATCTTTGTATCATCTACATGTACACCACATCCACTTTTCGAGTGCAAGATAAGGTCGAAGAGTAAAGTCACATGAGATAGTATTATGAAAATACAGTCATCCAAATTATATGTCCTTGTTTAAATGATTTTTTTGTAACACCTTGAAAACAAGCAGTTAGCTATATATCATTTGTATGAATAGTCTTTCATCTCTATGAGCTGTACCAATAACACTTAAACAATAAATTATATCTTAACTTGTTTAAAAAATGCAATTTTCAAAACCTGCATTATTAATTTTTAGCTCACCTGGCCCAATGGGCCAAGTGAGCTTTTCTCATCACTTGGCGTCCGTCGTCCGTTAACTTTTACAAAAATCTTCTCCTCTGAAACTACTGAACCAAATTTTATCCAAACTTGGCCACAATCATCATTTGGGTATCTAGTTTTAAAAATGTGTCTGATGACCCGGCCCTCCAACCAAGATGGCCGCCATGGTAAAAAACAGAACATAGGGGTAAAATGTAGATTTTGGCTTATATCTCTGAAATCAAAGCATTTAGAGCAAATCTGACAGTATAAATTTGTTGATCAGGTCAAGATCTATCTGCCCTGAAATTTGCATACGAATCAGACAACCATTTGATGGGTTGCTGACCCTGAATTGGTAATTTTAAGGAAATTATGCATTTTTAGCTCACCTGGCCCAAAGGGCCAAGTGAGCTTTTCTCATCACTTGGCGACCGTCGTCCGTAAACTTTTACAAAAATCTTCTCCTCTGAAACTACTGAACCAAATTTAACCAAACTTGGCCACAATCATCATTTGGGTATCTAGTTTTAAAATGTGTCTGATGACCCGGTCCGCCAACCAGGATGGACGCCATGGCTAAAAACAGAACATAGGGGTAAAATGTAGATTTTGGCTTATATCTCTGAAATCAAAGCATTTAGAGCAAATCTGACAGTATAGATTTGTTCATCAGGTCAAGATCTATCTGCCCTGAAATTTGCATACGAATCAGACAACCATTTGTTGGGTTGCTGCCCCTTAATTGGTAATTTTAAGGAAATTATGCATTTTTTGGTTTTATTATTTTGAATATTATTATAGATAGAGATAAACTTTAAACAGCAATAATGTTCAGCAAAGTAAGATCTACAAATAATTCAACATGACCAAAATGGTCAATTGATCCCTTAAGGAGTTGTTGCCCTTTAAAGTCAATTTTTAACAATTTTTATACGACCGCAAAAAAATTTTGTGGTCGTATATTGGTATGACGTTGGCGTCGTCGTCGTCGTCGTCCGAAGACACATTGGTTTTCGCACTCTAACTTAAGTTTAAGTGAATGGATCTTTTTGAAATTTTACCATAAGGTTAAATACCGCAAAAGGAAGGTTGGGATTGATTTTGGGGGTTATGGTACCAACAGTTAAGGAATTAGGGGCCAAAAACAAGCATTTTCTAGTTTCCAGACAATAACTGTGGAACGGTGTATGGATCTCTCTGAAATTATACTACAAGTTTCCATACCACAAAGGGATGGTTAGGATTTGCTTTGGGGGGTTATGGCTCAAACCGTTTAGGAATTAGGGGCAAAAAAGGGGGAAAGACAAGGTTGTCCTGGTTAATGGACAAATACTTTAGTACAAAACATAATTTAAAGCAGTGTAAGGGAGATAAATCAAATACATCATTGAAATTATCTCCCTTGCACTGCTTTTAAATTATGTATAAAGTAATGGTTAATGAACAATAAAGATAATTTAAAACAGTGTAAGGGAGGTAATCCAAATACAACGTTTTGGTTACTTCCCTTACACTGCTTTTAAATTATGTTTAAAGAAATGCATATTTATAAGGGAAGACCAGTAAAAATATCTGCAAATGTTGCATCATTTTTTTTTACAAAAAAATCCATATGAAAGATTTGACACTATATTTTTATTAATTCTATTATAAAATAGATTAAGTTAGCACTATTGTAAATTTAAATGGGTAATTATGGTTGCCAACTCCATTGGAAATTTGCATTGAGATTATGACCATATCTTGAGGGAAAGAATTTTTTTGGGGAAAAAAGGGGGGGATAAAAAGAAATTGTGGGGGGTCAATTTTTTCTCATTTCAGATTTCAGAAATTAAAAAGAATTATTCTTCAAATATTATTTTTTTTTCAAATTTCAAATATTGAAAAATTTCAAGAAGTAATCTTTAATTGCACAGTATGGCGCATTAGATTTGTAAAATCTTTGATCACATTTATTTATTTGTTATGCTGAATCTAACAGTGTATTCAGATTTTTAATTTTGGGTCCAGTTTTCAAAATAGTCTACATTAAGGTCCAAAGGGTCCAAAATTAAACTTTGTTTGATTTTAGCAAAAATTGAATATATGAGGTTTTTTGATATGCTGAATCTAACCATGTATTTAGATTTTTGATTTGTGGACCCCGTTATCAAATTGGTTCATATTGAGGTCAAAAGGGTCCAAAATTAAACTTTGTTTGATTTCATCTAAAATTGAATTATTGGGGCTCTTTGATATTCCAAATCTAACCGTGTATTTAGATTTTTAATTTTGGGTCCTGTTTTTTAAATTGGTCTACATTAAGGTCCAAAGGGTCCAAAATTAAACTTAGTTTGATTTTAACAAAAATTGAATTCTTGGGGTTCTTTGATATGCTGAATCTAAACATGTGTTTAGATTTTTGATTATGGGCCCAGTTTTCAAGTTGGTCCAAGATAGGGTCCAGTATTTAAACTTTGTTTGATTTCAACAAAAATTGAATATATGGGGTTCTTTGATATGCTGAATCTAAACATGTATTTAGATTTTTGATTATGGGCCCAGTTTTCAAGTTGGTCCAAATTGGGGTCCAAAATTAAACTTTGTTTTATTTTAGCAAAAATTGAATATATGAGGTTTTTTGATATGCTGAATCTAACCATGTATTTAGATTTTTGATTTGTGGACCCCGTTATCAAATTGGTTCATATTGAGGTCAAAAGGGTCCAAAATTAAACTTTGTTTGATTTCATCTAAAATTGAATTATTGGGGCTCTTTGATATTCCAAATCTAACCGTGTATTTAGATTTTTAATTTTGGGTCCTGTTTTTTAAATTGGTCTACATTAAGGTCCAAAGGGTCCAAAATTAAACTTAGTTTGATTTTAACAAAAAATGAATTCTTGGGGTTCTTTGATATGCTGAATCTAAACATGTGTTTAGATTTTTGATTATGGGCCCAGTTTTCAAGTTGGTCCAAGATAGGGTCCAGTATTTAAACTTTGTTTGATTTCAACAAAAATTGAATATATGGGGTTCTTTGATATGCTGAATCTAAACATGTATTTAGATTTTTGATTATGGGCCCAGTTTTCAAGTTGGTCCAAATTGGGGTCCAAAATTAAACTTTGTTTGATTTTAGCAAAAATTGAGGTCAAAAGGGTCCAAAATTAAACTTTGTTTGATTTCATCAAAAATTGAATTATTGGGGTTCTTTGATATGCCGAATCTAACCGTGTATTAAGATTTTAATTTGGGTCCCGTTTTTTAAATTGGTCTTCATTGAGGTCCAAAGGGTCCAAAATTAAACTTAGTTTGATTTTAACAAAAATTGAATTCTTTGGGTTCTTTGATATGCTGAATCTAAACATGTGTTTAGATTTTTGATTATGGGCCCAGTTTTCAAGTTTGTCCAAGTTGGGGTCCAAAATTAAACTTTGTTTGATTTTAACAAAAATTGAATATATGGGGTTCTTTGATATGCTGAATCTAACCATGTATTTAGATTTTTGATTTGTGGGCCCCTCTATCAAATTGGTTCATATTGAGGTCAAAAGGGTCCAAAATTAAACTTTGTTTGATTTCATCAAAAATTGAATTATTGGGGTTCTTTGATATGCCGAATCTAACCGTGTATTTAGATTTTTAATTTTAAGTCCCGTTTTTTAAATTGGTCTACATTAAGGTCCAAAGGGTCCAAAATTAAACTTAGTTTGATTTTAGCAAAAATTGAATTCTTGGGGTTCTTTGATGTGCTGAATCTAAACATGTGTTTAGATTTTTGATTATGGGCCCAGTTTTCAAGTTTGTCCAAGTTGGGGTCCAAAATTAAACTTTGTTTGATTTTAACAAAAATTGAATATATGGGGTTCTTTGATATGCTGAATCTAACCATGTATTTTGATTTTGGACATTGGACCATAATAGGTAAATTAAAAAAATTCAAGTTCTTAGATCACATTCTTTCTGTGTCAGAAACCTATGCTGTGTCAAATATTTAATAACAATCCAAATTCAGAGCTGTATCAAGCTTGAATGTTGTGTCCATACTTGCCCCAACTGTTCAGGGTTTGACCTCTGCGGTCGTATCAAGCTGCGCCCCAGCGAAGCATTTTATTTTGAAATGTTCTCTTAAACTACTGAGACAAATTTAACCATCTTGGCCACAATCATCATTAGGGTATCTAGTTTAAAAAATGTGTCCGATGACCCCGCCTGCCAACGAACATGGATTACATGGCTAAAAATAGAACATAGGGGTAAAATGCAGTTTTTGGCTTATATCTCTGAAACTAAAGCAAAAGTATAATGGTTGCATTATTTCATGCATCAATTGTAAACAAAAATATCAAGTGAGCGACACAGGCTTCTTGGAGCCTCTAGTAGGCTCACCTGGCCCAGAGGGCTAAGTGAGCTTTTCTCATCACTTGGCGTTGTCTTTTTTGTCTGTTAACTTTTACAAAAATCTTCTCCTCTGAAACTTCTGAACCAAATTTAACTAATCTTGGCCACAATCATCATTGGGGTATTTAGTTTAAAAAATATGTCCGATGACCCTGCCTGCCAACCAAGATGGCTGACATGGCTAAAAATAGAATATAGGGGTAAAATGCAAAGTTTGTCTATTATTTTGAAAACTGTTATAAATAGAGAAAATATGACAGGAGCAGAAATGTTCAGAATGTTGAGCTCTACCAGTTGTTCATATACGTCAAAACTGTCAGACGACTTCTTGTAGGAGTTATTGCCTTTAAATGACAAATTTTACCAAATTTTTTTCATTATACGACCGCAAAAAAATTTTTGTGGTAGTATATTGGTATGACGTTGGCGTCGTCGTCGTCCGGCGTCGTCGTCGTCCGAAGACACATTGGTTTTCGCACTCTAACTTTAGTTTAAGTGAATGGATCTTTATGAAATTTTACCACAAGGTTCAATACCACAAAAGGAAGGTTGGGATTGATTTTGGGGGTTATGGTAATAACAGTAAAGGAATTAGGGGCCAAAAAGGGGCCAAAAATAAGCATTTTTGTAACTTCCAGACATAACTTGTGTGTTAGTGTATGGATCTCTCTGACATTGTACCACAAGGTTCCATATCACTAAAGGAATGCTGGGATTGATTTTGGGGGTAATTGCCTCCAAATTTTAGGAATTAGGGGCCAAAAAAGGGGCAAAAAACAAGCATTTTTCTAGTTTCATGACAATAACTTGTGTGTAAGTGTATGGATCTTTCTGAAATTGTACTACAAGGTTCCATATCACAAAGGGAAAGCTGGGTTTGAGTTTGGGGGTAATTGCCCTAAACGTTTAGGAATTTGGGGCCAAAAAGGGGCCAAAAAACACATTTTTTTCTAGTTTCCAGACAATAACTTGTGTTCAAGTGTATGGATCTCTCTGAAATTGTACTGCAAGGTACCATACCACAAAGGGAAGGCTGGGATTGAGTTTGGGGGTGATGAATCATAATGGGGGTTCAAAAAATTTTGGGGTGGGATTTATTTTTTTTTTCCTTTTTTTTCTTTTTTTCCTTTTTTGTTTCTTTTAAAATTTTCCATTTTAAGTTGGTTATTTCTGATTTATATTTAAAATCAAATAATAATGATATGGTAGGAGATACACACCAAACAGGATGTGTAAATTATTATATAATAAGTATTGTGCAATAGCAAGAAATTTTCAATTGCACAGTATTGCACAATAGCAAGAAATCTTCAATTGCACAGTATTGCGCAATAGCAAGAAATCTTCAATTGCACAGTATTGCGCAATAGCAAGAAATATCCAATAGCACAATATTGCGCAATAGCAAGAAATTGTCAATTGTACAGTATTGCGCAATAACAAGAAATATTTAATAGCACAGGATTGTGCAAAAGAAGATACTTCCTATAAATTGCTTATTTCTTGACCAATTTCAATGGGGTTTTATTCTTGATTTCATGGGGTTCTTTAATATGCTGAATCTAACCGTGTATTTAGTTTTTGGATTTTGGGCCCCGTTTTTAAATTGGTCCACATTGAGGTCCAAAGGGTCCAAAATTAAACTTTGTTTGATTTCATCAAAAATTGAATTATTGGGGTTCTTTGATATGCCGAATCTAACTGTGTATTTAGATTCTTAAATTTTGGTTCCGTTTTCAAATTGGTCTACATTAAGGTCCAAAGGGTCCAAAATTAAACTTAGTTTGATTTTAACAAAAATTGAATTCTTAGGGTTCTTTGATATGCTGAATCTAAACATGTATTTAGATTTTTGAATATGGGCCCAGTTTTCAAGTTGGTCCAAATCGGGGTCCAAAATTGAACTTTGTTTGATTTCAACAAAAATTGAATATATGGGGTTCTTTGATATGCTGAATCTAACCATGTATTTAGATTTTTGATTTTTGGGCCCCGTTATCAACTTTGTCCACATTGAGGTCAAAAGGGTCCAAAATTAAACTTTGTTTGATTTCATCAAAAATTGAATTATTGGGGTTCTTTGATATGCCGTATCTAACCGTGTATTTAGATTCTTAATTTTTGGTTCCGTTTTCAAATTGGTCTACATTAAGGTCCCAAAGGTCCAAAATTAAACTTAGTTTGATTTTAACAAAAATTGAATTCTTAGGGTTCTTTGATATGCTGAATCTAAACATGTATTTAGATTTTTGATTATGGGCCCAGTTTTCAAGTTGATCCAAATCGGGGTCCAAAATTAAACTTTGTTTGATTTCAACAAAAATTGAATATATGGGGTTCTTTGATATGCTGAATCTAACCATGTATTTAGATTTTTGATTTTTGGGCCCCGTTATCAACTTTGTCCACATTGAGGTCAAAAGGGTCCAAAATTAAACTTTGTTTGATTTCATCAAAAATTGAATTCTTGGGGTTCTTTGATATGCTGAATCTAACCATGTATTTAGATTTTGGATATTGGACCATAATAGGTGAATGTCCAATTTAAAATTTTTAAGTTCTTAGACCACATTCAATCTGTGTTAGAAACCTATGCTGTGTCAAATATTTAATCACAATCCAAATCCAAAGCTGTATCAAGCTTGAATGTTGTGTCCATACTTCCCCCAACTGTTCAGGGTTCGACCTCTGCGGTCGTATCAAACTGCGCCCTGCGGAGCATTTTATTTTTGCTTATTATCTTCAAAAGTATAATAGATTAACTTGAAAATGCAAAAATGATCAGCAAGACAAGTTCTACAAATGAGTCCAATGGTCGAAATTGTCAGACGACTCTTTTTAAAGTTATTGTCCTTTCATGACAATTTTTACCAATTTTTTACGTTTTTGACTTATATCTTAAAAATTATAATAGATAGATAGAAACTTTAATAAGCAAAAATGATCAATAAGACATGGAGGAAATCTTCTGACGACTCCTTATTGGAATTATTGCCCTTAAATGATTAATTCTACTATTTTTATGCTCCCGCCGTAACGGAGGGGGCATTAAGTTTTACCCTTGTCCGTCCGTACGTCCCAAAATTGGTTTCCATTCCCTAACTTTAGTTTGCCTCAACCAAATGTTATAAAACTTATACACAATGCTTATTACCACAAAATACAAATCAAGTTTGAATTTTGGTGGTACATTTTTGTACCACTTTGACCGTTCTAGAGTTATGCCCCTTCACAAATTGGAAAATTGCTGAATTTTTCATTTCTGTTCTCTTACTTTAGTTTGCCTCAAATGTTATGAAACTTATACACAATGCTTATTACCACAAAATACAGATCAAGTTTGAATTTTGGTGGTGTAACTTTAACTGTTCTAGAGTTATGCCCCTTCACAAATGGGAAAATTGCTGAATTTTTTGTTTCTGTTCTCTTTCTTAAGTTAGCCTCAACCAAATGTTATGAAACTTATACACAATGCTTATTACTACTAAATACAGATCAAGTATAAATTTTGGTGGTGTCACTTTTACAGTTCTTGAGTTATGCTCCTTTACAAAGGGAAACATTGCCGAATTTTTCGTTTCCGTTCTCTAACTTAAGTTTGCCTCATCCAAATGATATGAAACTTATACACAATACTTATCACCACAAAACTCAGATCAAGTACAAATTTGGGTAGAGTCACTTTTACCGTTCTTCAGTAATGTCCCTTTATAACTTTATATGATATGCAAGCGAGGGCATCATCTGTGCCCCATGGACACATTCCCCATTTATTTTTCCAATTTTACCTATTATCTTGAAAATTATAATAGATAGAGAGAAACTGTAAATTGCAAAAATGATCAGCAAGACAAGTTCTACAAATAAGTCTAACATGGTTGAAAATTGTCAGTTGATTCATTATAAGAGTTATTGCTCTTTGATGATGATTTTTACCAATTTTTTGCATTTTTATGTCCCACCTATGGGCATTATGTTTTTTGGTCTGTGCGGCAGTTCGTCCGTCTGTCTGTCCCACTTCAGCTTAAAATTTTTGGTCAAGGTAGTTTTTGATGAAGTTGTATTCCAATCAACTTGAAACTTAGTACACATTTTCCCTATTATGATCTTTCTAATTCTAATGCCAAATTAGAGTTTTTACCCCAATTTCAAGGTCCACTGAACATAGAAAATGATTGTGTGAGTGGGCAGGTTAAAGTTTTTGGTCAAGGTAGTTTTTGATGAAGTTGAAGTCCAGTCAATTTGAAACTTAGTACACATGTTCCTTATAATACGATCTTTCTAATTTGAATGCCAAATTAGAGTTTTTGCCCAATTTCAAGGTCCACTGAACATAGAAATTGATAGTGCAAGTGGGGCATCCATGTACTCTGGACACATTCTTGTTGCATTATATCTTGAAAATAATAATTTGAGCAAAACTAAAAAAGATAGAGAGATACTATACAGATTAAATGATCAGCAATACAAGATCAACAAAACAGAGATTTTGGTCATGAATTCTGTTCTCGTCTTCAATGTTGGAGAGTGTCCTTTGTTGATTATGCACATAGACCAAGGTGAGCGACACAGGCTCTTTAGAGCCTCTAGTTGAAAGAAGCACAGATCTGCTTATCAAAAGTATTTGTACAATTAAATTTCTTTTTATAGACAGATAAAGGTTTCGATAGGAGAACTTTTGAAAAACAGATGTCTGTGATGAGAGGACAAGTGAGTATATCTTCTGATTCACCCTTTTTTTATACTATGCATAACAATTAATATATTAAAATACAGTTTTATGAGATACACTTTAATTACAAAAGTGCTTCTTGAAAAATTATTATTTAGAATTACTTATATTGAAGGAGTTAAATTATGTGTTAACTCAGGTCTGTTCAATTAAAATAAACATGGAACCCAGAGAAAGGCATTTTTGCATAAGAATACCCCCCTATAGAACTGCATACTTTAACATAATATTTCACACCCATCCATAGTGGCAAATTTAAGATGCCTCTCATGTATCTTTAACTTTGGTTGTAATTATTTTCACCTAGTAGTCTAACACCCAATTTAATTTTTTGTTAACATATCAATTTATTAAATGCGTGTATGAATAACAAGTATTTTTGTTCTGCAGATTTTGAATTTGACTCAAGCATTAAAAGATGGAAAATCACCAGTACAACTAGTACAGATGCCAGTAGTTACAATAGAAAGAAGTAAAGGACTAGGTGGGCGTGGCAGAACTGACAGTGAAACATTTACACAGAGCTTTGCACACAGAGCTCCATTCTTTTCTTGGTGCTGATGTAATGGAAAATTAACTAAAAAATCACATACTATTGATGCTTTTCTTTTTATAAAAGAAAGGAAAGAAGATGGAAAGAAGAGACATATATATATTGACCTGATAATTTTGGAATCCAAATATGCTTTAATGCTTATTTTAAAATAGCTGTAAAGCGTTACTGTGAAGTATGGGACAAAGTTCCAGAGTGATAGTTTATTCTGCTCTCACAGTCAGATTCAGTAAAATATATATTTTGGTTACCTAAATTATTTTTTGACACACAATATTTTCCTCAATAATTTTTAGTCACCAAAAAATTTTTACTTTCTGTAAATAATTCTCTATAATTGAAATTAAAAGTAAGACAAAATCAAGAATGTTGTAGAGAAAAAAAAGAATGCAATAAACTTACACCTAATAAAAAAAATCGTTGCTGCCTTAAATTCATGGGATAATGTCTTTTCAACAGATGATATTATTATTTTGCCGTCACAATAGTTTTAAAATGCACAAAATAATGTGTAACATTTAACACATATTGTTATTAGTTAAGCTTATCATGTTCAATTAGTACCACTGCATAATCATTGTTTATCTGTCTCAAAGGGAAATCTCTTACTTACTGTTCTTATAATTCAGCTTTAAAGGAAAATGTTTGATATTGTATGCTGTATTAAAAAATGCTGATCATTGTTATTTTATAAAGCAACAACAGCATGAAACAGAAATTTTCCTGATATTTAAAAAAATCATAAGTTTTCATTTTCTCTTAGGTTTGGCAAAGTAAAGTTGGGTTGCACCTCTTAGAATTAATGATGTCCCAGATAAAGGACATGTCTTGTATCTTGCTGTACAATCCATGATTTAAACATTTTAGATTTTAAAATGATCTCAAGTTTTTTCTTTAATCAATTCAATGATTTCAATCATGACAAAGATCATTTTTAAACTGCATAATTATATATTTTATATCATCAGCATAACAGATTGGGATCTCTGTCCAATAATTTGCATCACATGTTGGTATCATACATTTGTAAATCAGCAACTCCTGGCCTTGCGGTAATAAAACTTTCAAGCACGATTTTCGTACTCAGGCTCAGAAATCAACTAATCAAAATACTGGATTTGGTGTTTTGAGCACAAATTTTGTACTCCGAGCACTGAGTTAAGTTTTATGACCGAGGGCACACACATCTCTGATTTCACAATGCCTCATGAACATACTGAGTACAATAAGCCCCCTGCACAAATTTTTTTCTATATAAAGGTATTGGTGCTGGTTTTAAATGTCTATCTTCGTAGTATAATGGATTATCAATAAAGCCATTTGTAGTGATCAATTCAATGAATACATATAGCAGATAAAAACAGGCCTCTGGTATTAAGTTTTCAATATTTGACAAAGCAATAGAATATTTGTTCCCTATGTTTGTGAATTAGAATAGGTCTCAACAAATGTTACCTTTTTGGCATTAATCATTGATTTAATGAAATCAAATACTGATAAATTGGTTGAGTGCTAGATGTAAGCTGCTATGAAGTTACTGGAAAAGTTTCAGGACCAAAGAGTTATTTGTTTACAAACTGCAACTCATGACAATTGCTTATTTGGAACTCTGTGCTTTGGTGAGTTTTATGATGAACTTTGTATGGCATTGTGTATTTTTAAAGTGATCCTTCCGAAAGGCCACTAAATTTGCCTAAATTTGCATAACTAAAAAGATATGTTATGTAATTCACAAGTAGACAACCTAACTATAAACTTGCGTCACATTTAATTAAAGATGGGGTTATCTGTGAGTCACTCCTCTTATTTTGTAATACATTTAAATGACATTAATTAGAAATTAGTGTCACTATTAACCTTTTCTTTAAAAGCAAATTCCTAGATTACCTAAATGTTAAAGCCATGCCCAGTCATGTAAACTTAATACAGTAATAAAAAAAAATGCTTCTGTTTTGTACTTAATTTTTGAAAATATGAGTTCTTGTGAGTGAATGATTTAGAAAAGAATGAGAATTAAGAAGATGGTAATGTGTATGTAAATATGTAATTGAAGTTTTGTGATGATTTCATAAATTGTTGAGGAGGACCAAGGATTTGAAACTGATTGTTGAAGTTATATTTTATTTATTCTGGCAAATATAGAAAATTCCAAAACCGTTGTTAGTGACAATTGGAATAGTTCTATTAATACATATATATTTTCATGTGTTTTATGGTCCAAGATTTTTATTGTCGAGCCTTCGACTTTTGTCGAAAAAGCGAGACATAGCGATCCTACATTCCGTCGGCGGCGGCGGCGGCGTCCACAAATATTCACTCTGTGGTTAAAGTTTTTGAAATTTTAATAACTTTCTTAAACTACCCTGCATTTCTACCAAACTTGGACAGAAGCTTGTTTATGATCATAAGATAATATTCAAAAGTAAATTTTGTAAAAAAAAAATTCCATTTTTACCGTATTTTACTTATAAATGGACTTAGTTTTTCTGCCAGGAAACATTACATTCACTCTGTGGTTAAAGTTTTTGAAATTTTAATAACTTTCTTAAACTATCCTGGATTTGTACCAAACTTGGAAAGAAGCTTGTTTGTGATCATAAGATAGTATCCAGAAGTAAATTTTGTAAAAAAAAAATTCCAATTTTCCGTATTTTACTTATAAATGGACTTAGTTTTTCTGCCAGGAAACATTACATTCACTCTGTGGTTAAAGTTTTTGAAATTTTAATAACTTTCTTAAACTATCCTGGATTTGTACCAAACTTGGAAAGAAGCTTGTTTGTGATCATAAGATAGTATCCAGAAGTAAATTTTGTAAAAAAAAAATTCCATTTTTTTCGTATTTTACTTATAAATGAACTTAGTTTTTCTGCCAGTTAACATTACATTCACTCTGTGGTTAAAGTTTTTAAAATTTTAACAACTTTCTTAAACTATCCTGGATTTGTACCAAACTTAGACAGAAGCTTTTTTATGATTAAAAGCTAGTATCTAAAAGGAAATTTTGTTAAAATTTTGTTCCATTTTTTCCGTATTTTACTTATAAATGGACTTAGTTTTTCTTCCAGTTAACATTACATAACAGTCTGCAGTTTAAGTTTTTATTTTAAAACATTTATTAGATTCATAAACTATCCTGGATTTTTCCAAACTTGGACAGAAGCTACTTACAATCAAAAGATAGTATAGAGAGGAATATTTTTATTAATTTTTTTTCTCATTTTTGTTGAGCCTGTGATTAACAGCAGAAGTAGGCGAGACACTGGGTTCCGCGGAACCCTTACGAATTTTTTTCTAACTAATGGAGGGGCCTCATTGGCCAAGTGGTCCAAGTAGTCAAACTACTGTATCTGAGGTTATGAGTTCGAATCCCGCACATGGTGCGCTAGACTCCAATCTTAACTAGGATTGTCAGTTTTCCTACCAAAGGTCGTTGGTTCTCTCCAAGGTACTCTGGCTTCATCCACCAATAAAAACTGACTGCCACGAAATAGCACAATAGTGTTGAAAGTGGTGTTAAACACCAATCTATCAATCAATCAATCAATCTAACTAAGGGATAATTTTTAGGTGACAACCTTTTCAAAATATATTTTCATATAAATTTCAGGTAAGCATAATGAATAAATAGCATGGATTTATATGAATTTTATAAACAAAATACATAATATTCTTCACAGAGTCATGAATTGTTATGAAGATGCATTTCTTAATTTTCTGTAAAATTGCCAATTGTATGCCACATATGTAAACATTGTTGGAGAGAATGATACCTTAGTACACTAAATTGGGAAATGATTTAAATCTTTTTCATCCTATACAATTGTATTTGTATTTTATATGAGGGATGAGAAAAGAGATATGGAAAATGAGCAGTGTTGCAATATGTATATGACATGTGATATTTTTAACTTGTTATTGACATTGATTTCAGGAAATTAAATTAAAATTATTAATTCAGTTTCTGCTGTGTTACATTCTGACCATGACTTGTACATGTCGTAATTGAAAAAGATAATTCAGATATTAGCAAACAATTCACATTTCCCAGATTTGTTGGGTTAATTCATTATTCCAGCTTGGTAAAAAAAAGTCCATTAAGCTAATGTGTTGTAATTGAAAAAGATAATTCAGATATTAGCAAACAATTCACACTTCCCAGACTTGTTGGGTTAATTCATTATTCCAGCTTGGTAAAAAAAAGTCCATTAAGCTAATGTCACCATTTGCCATCTGCCATTAGCTGTAAAGAATCGGAGAGTCTAAGTGAAACATTATTAAAAAAAAAAATGTTGGGTATAGACAGCAATCCAATTACACAATAAAAAAGGAAAAGACATCTGAATTCAACAAACCATTTTTATGTGTCTATTTCGTAAGTGTTTAGTGTACTTGACCTTCATAATCCTTTGGACTTCACAGTCTTAAATTATTTGAAGAACAAAAAAAGACTGACACATTGGAACCTAAAATTTCATTCAATATGGCTACCACAATGTAGGACAGTATTTTATAGGACAAAAGTATGGTGAGTGTGCTCATTGCTGAAGGCCTTACACTGAACTCAAATGGTCATGACTGCCTCAGTGGTCTTGTGGAAGCATGCTCGCCTAGAGTAGATTCTTCCGTTCGATCCCCTTCAGAGTCAAATTAAAGACTTTACTTTAAAATTGGCATTTGCTGCTTCTTTGTCAAGCTCACAGCTTTTAGTGGTAAGAGGAAAGACTGTTGAGCTCAAAATCTAGGTAGGTTGACATGCCTTCCTGCAGACATTGTGAACTTGTTCGTTAAAAATTCTGCTCAGTTTGTTGGTCCAGTACAAAGCAGGGTTCGTAATATTTGCCACTGTAGGTTAAACTCTAATCTATCATCATCATATTTTCTTGTCCTCTTCATATTGGTTTTGATTGGTATCTGTCTCATTGACAATCATAGGATGTCACATATTTATATCACTACTAAACCTTTCAGCTTATTTTGATCAGATTTAACATAAAACATCTCTTACCCACAATCAATCAAATGTTGATGAAATGGTCTTTTAATGATTTCCCAGCTATATAATTGCTTATATAAGGGCATTTGAAATTATTTTTATGCCCCTGCTGTAGTTTTAAGTTTTACCCTTGTCCGTCTGTACGTACGTATGTATGTACGTCCCAAAATTGGTTTCCGTTCTTTAACTTAAGTTTGTCTCAACCAAATGTTATGAAACTTATACACAATGCTTATTACCACAAAATCCAGATCAAGTTTGAATTTTGGTAGCGTCACTCTAACTGTTCTAGAGTTATGCCCCTTTATATATGGAAAAATTACAAAATTTTTAGTTTCCGTTCTCTAACTTAAGTTTGCCTCAACCAAATGTTATGAAACTTATACACAATGCTTATTACCACAAATCACAGATCAAGTTTGAATTTTGGTGGCGTCACTTTAACCGTTCTAGAGTTATGCCCCTTTATAAATGGAAAAATTGCAAAATTCAAGTTTGAATTTTGGTAGCGTCACTCTAACTGTTCTAGAGTTATGCCCCTTTATCAATGGAAAAATTACAAAATTTTTAGTTTCCGTTCTCTAACTTAAGTTTGCCTCAACCAAATGTTATGAAACTTATACACAATGCTTATTACCGGTACCACAAAATACAGATCAAGTTTGAATTTTGGTAGCGTCACTCTAGCTGTTCTAGAGTTATGCCCCTTTATAAATGGAAAAATTACAAATTTTTTAGTTTCCGTTCTCTAACTTAAGTTTGCCTCAACCAAATGTTATGAAACTTATACACAATGCTTGTTACCACAAATCACAGATCAAGTTTGAATTTTGGTGGCGTCACTTTAACTGTTCTAGAGTTATGCCTCTTTATAAATGGAAAAATTGCAAAATTTTTAGTTTCAGTTCTCTAACTTAAGTTTGCCTCAACCAAATGTTATGAAACTTATACACAATGCTTTTTACCACAAAACACAGATCAAGTTGAATTTTGGTGGCGTCACTTTAATCATTATCGAGTTATGCCCCTTTATAAATCGAAAAATTGCAAACATTTTTTTATCAAAATATTAATTTTCCGAATATGTTTAGTCATCTTCTTTAGATAATTCCATCTGACATTGAAGGAGATGATAAAATGAGATATTTAGGTAACAGAAAATAGATATAGAAGATCTTTAGGAAAATACATTTCCTACATACATGTACCAGTTGATGGCTTACAACCAAATTTGTCTGAATAGTCTGTAAGGTAATTCTTTTTAAAATAAAGACCAAACTTTGGTCTCCCTTTGATTACAGCATGAACATATACACCAAATTAAGTAATGCATAGTCAGTACAGCGAACAACAAAATCAAGAAAACTATTGTCAATGATACCTGCCGCTGATAGAGTTGAACACAAGTTATCTTCCTTGCTACATATCAATGAACATCTATTCTAAGTAAATGATGTTGATATTACTAAAGTAATCAATTTAATAACCTATTTAGATGCCACCATAAAAGGTAAAAAGAAGATCAAACAAAAAAAGTATCTCATTGATTTGAACAACAGGAGGTATGCACCATCCTTAAAGACTTTGCGAGGTCAATGTATAGTCTTGAAGACACGTGTCTATATAAAATGTCAAGCTTTAAATTGGTTGAATCAAAAATTTTAATGGAGACTACCAAAGATATGCCCAAAGCACCAACTGCCCTAAAGGGGAAAACAAAGATATAACTAAATGGTTTCTTATCAGAATGCAATCTAATGGCCCCCTGTCTACCGTCCAATAAGGCAGACCACAGTTCATTTATTGTCTTGCCTGTGATGATTGTCACTAAACCTTATTAAGCATTGATGACACCTGTGACTTATTGTTTATAGCTTTATATTCCAGAAGTCTGTTGTCCTTGATGTCATTTTCCTGTTGTAATGACTTTCTATTTAAAGTAAACGACCAGTTTATGTGATTATGTCAGTTGCCCAGTTAAAACAAGTCACAGATAGACTGTGTGTGGTCTATAGTGTCACTGTAAGGTGTACATATCCGTCTTACTGAGCTCTTGTGACCTTGGTCTCATTTTTATGATTCAAGTTTTCGTGTGAAACATTAAAAAATATCTCAAAGACTTTCAAACCAGTCATATTCAGTTAAGAAAGCTATACATTTCATTGGGTCCACATTTGTTGTTAAAATCTACTGAAAGGCTCATAAATGAGCACATTGAAAGGTATGTTGAAGCAAGTCACAGATAGGCTATGGGTGGTCTTATTATCGTCATTGTAAGGTGTGCAAATCCGTCTGACAGAGCTCTTTTGACCTTGACCTCATTTTTAAGGTTCAAGTTTCGTAAAACATGAAAAATTAACTTCGATCTCACTTGTTAAGGACCTTCACAATAATATGAAAATAAGGAGATATGGTATGATTGCCAATAGAAAACTATCAACCAGAGTCCAAACGATGTGGATGTAAACCATTTTAGGTAACTGTACGGCCTTCAACAATGAGCATAACCCATACCGTACGGTCAGCTAAAGAAGGCTCCGAACTGAAAAATGTGAAACAATTCAAACGAGAAAACCAATCATCGGATCTGATTTATGACAAAAGAATAGTGAAAAACAAAAATGAGACAGTAACCAACGACAAATTACAGATAGGATAGGCACATGCTAGCTTCCGGAAGATGTATGATTGCCAATGAGACAGCTCTCCACCAGAGACCAAATGACGTAGAAGTTAACAACTATAAGTCACCGTACAGCCTCCAACAATGAGTAAAACCCATACCACATAGCAAGGTATCAAAGACCCCGTAAGAACCAAATGTTGAACAATTCAAAAGATAAAACTAACGGCATTTACATTTACATAACGGATTTATGTACAAAACAACAAACGAAAAACGAATATGATATACAGCAACAAACGACAACCACTGAATTACAGGCTACTGACTTGGACGGGACAGGCACATACAGAATGTGGCGGGGTTAAACACGTTTGCGGGCGCCTAACCCTCCCAGTTTGAGCGCTCAGTCCTCCCTCTAACACGAGACAGACTGACTGTCTAACAGCACAACATAAAAAAAACTATAAAATCCAGTCGGAAGTTCGGTTTCAATTTGTTTTTTAATAGTTTCCTCTGAAGAATATCCGTAAAAACAGGACATTTGGACCCATTTTATCCCCTTGAAGCCGTGCCGGTATTTGCCTTTTCATCAAGACTAAATAAAGTAACCACACTTGGTAAGTTCATTTTAAAGAGCGTTTCAGGGATTTTTGGTTTTCATTTCACTTCATTTGTTCTTGAACAGAAAAATGAAATGCAATTTCCTTAATGGTTTAAATGTTAAATTTGACTTCAACTGGCGGCCTTTTGGAATTTCTGATCGGCATTACAGTAAAGAAACATCTGGCAAGTTTGATTTCATTTGAGTCCGTGGTCCTAGATAAAAAAAAATCTTTTAAAATCGGACCAGTTTGACCCCTTTGGCCTCGTTTTAGTCTTATAGGACTGTTTATCAGGACCAAAGTAACAACAATTAGTAGTCCCTTCTAATTAGGAACAATACTGATTTGTTTGTTTTCATTTCACTTTATTCGTTCTTGAAATGCAAAGCAAAATGCATGATCATATAGTAAACTTTGATCTCAGCTTGTGGCCATTTTGAATTTCCAATCGTCTCTAAAGTCATAATGCTTGTAAAGGACAAATTAAGGACAACCTTCACAGGAACATAGTTGCCAAATTTTGTTTTAACGGAGTCAGTCGATCGTTCTTGAGAAGAAGTTTTCTAAGTTTAGACACTAATAAATTAGAAAAGGCCATTTGGTCTATGATCTTGTCTTGCTAATCATTTTTGCTTTTTAAAGTTTCTATCTATCTATTACAGTTTTTTGTCATTTAAGGGCAATAACTTCAAAAAGGTGTTGACTGACCATCTCCATTATGTTCACTTATATGTAGA